TATTATCAGGCATTGTTCGTAATTACCTTATGATATTTATATGCATATTGGCGTTGAAAGGCGGGAAGAATCAGCATTTGACTTCAGTTTGATGGGGCATGCCTTTGTTAGTCGGCAATTTATACAGTCAGGTATAATCGGATTTAAACTTTGATTCTATTGTGGGTGGTAGAACTTGACGCTATTGTTGCGTTCCTTGTGTTGGGAGATTTTAACGATAGTTACAGTTTAACAGTTGTCTATTCTTGGTGGCTGACAAGTCTATTGAGGGACCTATTGTTAGTTAGTTGATTGACAACCGAGTGACTAAATCCCCGTTTTGTATTGTGTAAGGCCGCAACCTTGAAGGATCAAGTAATCAGATGGTATTTTGTTTTGGTCTGGGGTAAATTTACCATCTAAAGTCTGTTTCAAAAAATGGACAGATCTTCAAGTATTTCACCGATAATGCACTTGAAAACATGATATTTGATTCTTAATAAATAAAATAACCTTTTCTTGTTTTTAGATTTTCCGCTTGTCTTGGTAAGACAATGAATGGAAACCGCCTCAATACTAAGTATAGTGCATGAACAAAACAAAAAAAAAAAACTTTTGTTTTATGTAAAAGATTTGATTTGTTAACTGATAAAAAGTAATTATAGGCATTTCATTAGACCTAGGGCATAAAATAACTTGTCAACAAATGATATGATATTTGTATTCAAATTAAAATGAACTCATACTTCTTTGACAATTTGTACAAGGGAAATTATTTACATATTTACATATATGTCTTCTGTCAATTTCTGGTCAGAATAAAACTTATAGTTGTTATCCAATATTCAAGTCTATGTCAATTTAAAAAGATAAAAGAGAATTGAAATAAGGGTTAAATTTACCCTTTCAGTATTATTTATAGATATCTGTCTGAAAATGCCTCCCTCATGATTTTGTTACAGCCATTTAAGAACGATGTGTGGCAGAATATATGATGTCATGTACATAAGAAGAAAGTGGGTTATCTGTTTCATCTCCAAATGTGTAGTTGAGTATGCCAGAAACCTGTTTGGTCTACAAAAAGACCATAAATGGTGCTGGCATCAAATAGGTTAGAAGGCCGAAATCAATTACAAAGTTGAAAAGCAAAAATTCCCAGAAGTTATGCCAAATCTGTAGTACTCAGTTAGATTGTAATGTTTTAACAATGATTCGGTGGCAGGATCGTCTGATTTGCCTTTAATATGAAGTGATGATTGCCAGGGAGAAGGAATTCTGTTTCGCCAAATCTTTTAATTTAACAGATGGGTTCACCTAATAGTGATTTTAATCAAATATGCTGGGGTGTCTGGCGAATAATGAAAGCAAGTTTTTGCTTTTTCTCTCTCAAGTTCTTCTTGATGCAATTAAGCTTGATGGGTCTCGGTTCAGATACAAACGTACAGTGCATGATATAATAACCCTATATAATCATTATTTATAATTGAGAAATTAATCGGTTTTCTAAATGTTGATGGAATTTCTGTGTAGTGTATAAATAGCTGCCATATTGTTCTGTTTTAATGTTGTGTACTTGATTGTTTGAAGAATTTGATTGGGAAAATCCAGATTGGACAATTGTAGTACTCAAATTGAGTTTGGCATTGATGTGAAATAGATTACGAAATATTATAAATTTGAACGATTTAAAGGATTGGAGTAATATTTTATACATATGCATAAAAAGATAATTAGGTTTCCAATAGTATATCAATGACAACCCTTAAACATTATAAAGCCAGAAAGATGCCTAAAGAGTTACCCATACATGAAGCCTATAAAACACCTGAAGTTATACGAAAAATAGACATACAAAGTACCCTAAGGGGATAGTGTGAAATCACCTTCAGAAAAAAAGGATGCATACAATTGGAGATTTTGTCTAGCTTCTTTGACTTTGAGATTTTTTTTTTTTTATTAACTTCCAAAACACAAATCGGTTAAAATGTGGAGAAAAAAACGACAAAGCGTTATAACAAGTTTGATCATAATTAAGACTAAGTAAGTACCTCATGATTTCATTTACTCACTAAGAGATGATTACAACATCTTCTATCCACTTTTGTCATTTTAAGAACCCGAAGATGCATTCAGTGATATCAAATGTCGCCATTAGACAGTTTACATGCAAACAACAAATCAGAAACGATTAATCAACTATAAACTCTCCTTTGCCATGCATGATATCGTGATCAGAGTGGGGTATTAGGACAGAGAGCCTTTAGTGAAAGCTGGTTCAATCACCCATTATTAGACATTTTCTTAAAGGTTCTATTCTGTACATTCATAAGGGGGAATAGTTACAGTCCAACATTTATCTTGATCAATAGCAAAAGAGACTGATATGTTGTTTTTTTTTTAACAGAAGTAGGCTTGGATAATTTATCATTGAGAACAATATGAGGGTAATTGCATACAGAATTGACTGTGTTTTGAATGCCTTTCCGGACTATTGATACGTACTAAGAATGTATCTTTGGTGAGAATGGTTTTCTCTTTTGGGTCCGTAACTCACTCTGCAGCATCTCTTGGCCTATTGCAGCTTGCTGTGGGGTTTGGGTTTTGCTAATTGTTGGGAACCGTACCGTGATCTGACAATAGTTGTTTGCATCTTTGTCATTTTGTTTGTATGGATAGTGGTCTTATTTGCAATCATGCCACATCTCCTTATTTTTATATTGAAAACAGAAAGCAACCTTTATGGGATCCCAGCTGAAAGTTACAAATTGAACTATATTTGCTGAACCTATTTCTTTGATATTTCATTTCAACTTTCTTATTTTGCAATCCTCTTTCAAGATGAGGCTATTTTTGGGCTTATAAACTTTCCTATAAGTCCTTGTTGGATATTGGCTAATAGGCATAACTAAATTAGAAGTTTGTTTGATGTTGTATGATTTTCCGCAGCGAGGACTGAGATCAAATCAATCAGCAAGGACTCTAAATAAATTCCCATTGATTGCTACCACATCACATAAAATTTCTAAAGATCGTAGATCTAATGAATCTGTCATTAAATAAAGTTCATCGGTTTTTCCTCCAGAGGAAAAAAATATATTCAAATTGACTTCATGTTTATAGCTAGCATAATGTAATTAATAGGAAATCATGATATTGATCGAGTTGTCACAACCAGTTACATTTGAAATCTTTCCAGTAAAGGGGAAGTATAAAGGTCTGGCAAAAAAGATATGGCTTCTGTTTTGGGAATCTGTTTTGGTCCTCTAATTGTAATCACATTTAAAGTAGCCTCTTTTGATGTTTCTATACTGGGATGGGGAATAGGTAATGAATATACTTAGGATCAAAGGTTAATATTTGTCTCAAAGCAAAAGAAAATGATTGGTTTCTCAGTGCAAGTTCTCCTTTAGGAAAATAAAAAACAGTTCTGACATATTTTTTAAAAACCATTTTCATTTTAATGATATAAAGGGGGCAGTTTTTGTGAAGGATACATTTGTGCTGAGTATATGATTCAAATAGACTAGCAAAAATATCTCCTTGTGTAAGTTTAATATTCAAGAAGGAAAAGATTCCGAGACAAGAACAACATAAAATGAATCTTTGCCAACAGCTTTGGCCCTAAGAAATTGTGATATTTCAAAACTTGCAGTGAATAATATAATTCACTTTTCAGTAATATTTTCAATGCTTTAAGAACTCACTGCCTGGAACTTCTTTTCAAATGATATTTACAAAAAAAAAATCATTGAAATTGATGGTTTACAGAGCATGCTATGTTAATTAAAATTAGAGTTTGTTTAAATAACAAAAAGTACTTTTATGAACACATGGCTTTTTAATAAAGGGTCCTAAAATAAATCAACTTTATTAATACAGTGTTTAAACAGTCTACTTTGTCAAAACTTTAATTATATAACATTGCATAATTCAATTACTGTTTACAAAATATTGAAAGCAAAGTGGTTAGAAGGTGCCAAAAATATGTATTTGACCCACTTGAAATCAATTATAATAATATTGGGTCATTATGTTCATTTAAAAAATCATTTGCAGTATTTGCATAAGTTCAGTCGAAATTGATGCATATTTACTTAGCGTGCAATATGTGATTCTCAATTTAATAATTTTTTTCGTACTTCTTGAAGAGCTTAGTACGATGTACCTTGAATAATTTTTTGAGAAGTCATTTGAATTTGATGTCAGTTAGAAATGCGATTTGTAAAAGAAATATTTGAAGTGAAAGTACTTTTAATAAAGCACTTTCAAATGTCAAATGAAAAAAAAATATTTGTAGAAAGAGATTGGATAGTAAGCAAGGCAATTAGATAAGTTTACTGATGTTCAAATCTTGCAAATCCAGTTTGACTAAACAAATCAATTTAAAACAACCATGGAATCATATGAACTCTTAAAGGAATGAGACTAAGATTAATGCGTCTACAGGGTCTACAGGGTAAACAACAATCTCTTGCTTTGCAAATTCACACTCATCGAAAATGTCAGATTTGGAATACTGGTCACCATAAGTACATTAACTGACCAGACCACTAAGATCTCTAAGACCTGTAAAACGATGTCTCTGACGTGACTAAAAGAGATATATTTGAGTTAATCAGCTGAAGTCAGGCAAAGTTGGCATACGAGTAGGCTGCTATAGATGCATCAAATAACATATATTTGTTTCTTATTTCTGTAAATTCAGAAATTATTGCGTGCATTTATTATTTCAATTGTTGAAGAATGGACAAAAATGCGAGTTTAATTATTGCGATTTCAGGAAAATCTGCATACAAACATATGTATCAGATATCGGAATGTGAGTTCTTATTTTTGTGAATTCGACAAGTCGCATTATTCGCATTAATAAAAACCTCGCAATAATTTCTGAATTTACAGTAATCTATTACAGCAACAGGATTTATATGAAGCAAGAAAAAGATATAAAACTGATTTTCCTACAGATTTGTTTTTAGTCCCGTCACCAAAAGGTCTAAAATATTCTCTTTTTATCTTTGCAGATTGAAGATGCAATGCTTATGTTTGATAAACAGACAATGAGACATCGAGGTAAGATGGCTGTACAGAAAACCCAAAGGGAATTATGGGAAAATTAAAAGTTCCCACAATTCCCTGACATATTAGAACCAAATTAGCTCAGTTATGTCACACTGAAATAACCAGTCAAGATACTAAAATTGATGCAAAATTTGGAAACTATGGGAGTATTTTTCCTCGGGTATCAATTTTATAGGTTTGTGAAAATATTGTTGGTTTTGGGATTTGGAAGCAATGGAAAATATATATATTTCCTGGGGGACTTCAATCTCATTGTTGAAGGGAATCAAGAAATCTACGAAAGATTAGTATTCCATGAGCAAATTAATTAAGGAAGAAAATTTTGGCCCTGTTAATGAAATAAAGATCCTTAGATTCAGTTGTTTTCTTTGAGCTAATTTGGACCGGTATCAAAATGGAATTTTGAAATGACATTTATTTGAAAGGTCTGCTGTTTCAGAGAGCTAATAAAATTTGGATTGATTCAAGATTATTGTTTTGTACAAAAAAAAATGTACAACATGTATAAAACTTGCTTACATAATCTCAATTTCTTTTAAAATTGGACTAAATTTTTGTATAAACTTTAATTTTGAAAACAATTGACACGATTTTGAGAAAGTTTGATAAAAATCTTATAACTATCTGACATTTAAAAAGCCCCAGTAAACAGTGAAAACGTTGAAATAATCTTGATTTTGAATTGAATGTTCTTTTGTTGTGAAAACATGGGTGTTTTTTAGATCAATGATTTGATAATGATTTGGATAATAAAAATAAGCTGATAAAATTTGGCGTGTTAAAAATGAATTTATATTTTTTTAAGAAGTTTGGTCGAATTTCACTTAACAGAAGTCACTAGAAAACATTACAAAATGATTTTCCTCTCTCTTTGACTGGAAGAGCAAAGTTATCAAAAGGGAGTTGTGAAAAATCTGTAAAAATCATCAAGGAAAGCCAAAAGAGGCGGGGGATTTCGATCGGAGCCAACATTTCATAACATTCTGCATGATAATCACTTGATTTTGATAAAAGTAACAGTAATTACGAAAAAATTGTAAAGAAAACAAATAAAAAAGAAAGTATCAAATGTTTTCTATTTTCATCAGTTTGATTTGATGCATCGATTGCTTGGCAGATCCCCAAATTCCTGACTGACGTCTGTTTTTTTACATATGGACGTAGATAAGTTGTGTTTTTTGTTGAACACACGGTTTGAAAACAGCTGTCATCTGCAGTGCCTTTTGGAAAGCAAACTTATTGCCTTCTGTTCCCGACTATTATAATCTTTTAAACACTCCATCTCATTATCGCTACCGTAAAGAAAATGAATTTGCTATTAGTTTTGCTAGAACGCAAATAAACATTGGGGTTTATCCATCGTGACCTACAGGCAGAGAACCATGCTGCTGTAGCTGTGTATTTTGCACTTGCTGATTTTGATGTGTACTCGATAATTACTTGGTTGAATGTTTTTGAATATCTGATTGGCAAACATCATCAATACAGTTTTGAAAACATCTGCGTTGGCAGTAATTGCTGGCCAATTTAATTGCAAAGAAAGTGGAATGCAGGCTTTGATTTTTAGACAGGGATGAAGGCAATTGAAGTTATTGCAATGTTTTGTACATAGACAGTTAATGTATGGAATGTCAGAGGTGTTACTGCTTATGTGAAGAAAGTATTGTGGCATGAAATAGTATCTGTTATTATTGTAATAGTCCTAGTTAACTTAGTATGGGTAGTTTGTCCTTTATGTATATTTTTAGCATAGTCTTTTCTTGTAGTTTTCTAACTGGTGAATGGCTTCTTTAAATGTCAAGTTGTAGGTTTTCTGTCTATAATAGTGCTTGAGTGGTCTCGTAATAGTTAATTTTTTAGATAGTAGTAGGCCTTAGATTTTGTTTTCTGTACAAGAAAATGTAGGTTCTTATCGCAGATGAAAAAAGGGAGGCTCAAGAACAAGGAATTATGTGGAGGATGATTCTGTATGGATTAAAACGGGAATTGTATGTGCTCCTTTGTTTACTATGTAGATTGCGAATGTTTAATGTTTTCATCATCGTACTTACTGAAAAGATAATGGATTTAAGTGCTCATGTAGAGAAGAAATGTCTCTTTCATAAATGATGCTTTAAAGTGTTAATTGCTTGCACTTTTTACCAGTTATTGACAAATGTTTCAGAAATGTGTTTGGATGGAATGTGACGTACGTTGTTATTGTTTGCTGGTGGATTTATTTGTTCATCTTTAAACAATCATATCTATTGTGTTTTACAAGCATTATTTCAAGACAAATGGAAAAGCACTTAATATTTCATATTGATTATCCAATAGAGGTGTCACATTTATCAATCTTCCTTGGAAATGGATTGATCTCAAAAGTAACATCATTTTTAAATAGTGATATAGATGAAGGAAATAGGTTGGGGAAAAGAATTTTGAACAACAAGACAGAATGAATATGACATGTTAACAAAGATGTAGCAAGTGTTCAGAAGATCTTGATTGCTTTGATCTGAATCACTGAAATGTTTTGCAACAAGTAATATGAAATTTTGATCTGAAGTTTTTATGTTGCATAGAAGTATAAAGATTTGTGATAAGAAAAAAATTTAAATTTCGTTTAATCAGGATCGAAAGGTTGGTAATTAGGTAGATTTTATGTAAATAAAATATATAGTCTCTAGCGTAGTCTTATTTCTCATAGAATAGATGCCAAACACGGTTCTGTAATGTTTTTCCTCTTTTTTTGCGATTGTCTCCTTGTTATGTTTACTAAGCGAAGCCCGTGTTTCATTTTTGGTGCTCTCTCAAGGTTCATTTACGGGAATAAGGTAAAAAGTCTTGTTTTTTTTTCTTTGCTGTAAGCAACTTGTGGAATTGCAAAAAATAAGATGATTAATTGATTTGGCACTAGCTGTCAGTGATGTGATAAAAAATTTCACAAAATTCTTGACAACTTTCAAGAACCTAGGCAATAGGATTAAAAGAAATTAAATGAATACATTATCTTGTAAATTTGACATGAACTGTGCCCTCTTTGTTTTGATTCATGCTGATTATGATACTTTATATGTCAAAATTTTATTGACATTTTTCAAATGAAGCAGTAGAGAACCTGCTGAGAGCTGTTTCTTATCTCTAAGACAGAAGAGTTCCATTCACACCTCACCTGTCGAACCAATTAATACCCTATCCTTTACATGCTGAGACAGGAGTTTATGTGGCCAAGAATAGTCAACCATAGTATAGATTACTGATGAAAACATTAAAAACTTATATACTATTTTTTTGTGGTATAGAAATTTTTCATTTGAAGTTTTATAGAAAGCCATGCGAAACTTTATTTGATCACCCTGCATAGGAATAGATTTAACAGACTTGAAAGAAGAAAATCACAGAAAAAAATTCTTATGGTTGTTGATGCCATTTCTGCAAAGTGCTTAGTTAGGCAGAAACAAATTTTTGATGAAACAGTTTATGCTGTTAGAACTAAATCTACAATAGTAAATTTCATATATTTTTGTGAAGTGCAAAAAGTTTTTTACTTTACTTTTCATCAGGTTTCTTTGTTCATTATATATATATTTTTTTTTATCATTTAGCAATGTTTCAAGAGTTTAATTTCTTTTTGTTTGATTAAAATTACTAAATGTTCCACTCTTAAGAAAAAAATGACTAAAGTCTGTAGTGCAGTGCAAGAATTGCTTCCCATGATGAAAAACACTTAATTCTGAAAATTTCAAAATTGATAAAAAGAATTATGGTTTTAAAAACCATATTTTTAAGTGAAAGGTTTTGAAATGCTGTAGCTATTTTCACAAAACTTCTTACAACTAAAATGGTTTACTAAATTGTTGAGTGATTAATAAAAGAGTAATTGTTCACCAATGTATTTCTTCTGAGTCAGTGTGAATGGATATATTTACAAATTTCAAAAAAGATAAACATGTGTTGTGGGTTTTTTGTTTTGCATCGAAAATATGTTAAATGATATTTTGTGTCTAAAGAGAAAAAAAAAATAAATTGAAGTTGACTGGGAGTTAATTATTTGGTCACTACGTATCCATGATAAGGGCTACAAAACACACAGATTAGCACAAATCTCTCTCCTGCCATTAACTATGACTCTGATAAACTCTTGATCCTGCAAGGCAACCTGCTTAACATTTACAAGCAAAACAATGAATAAATCTTGATAAATATGATAAGATTTCTGTGGCATGGATTTATTGTAAACTTGGTATGCTGATAATGCTTTATCTAGGGGTCAGTCTAATTCAATTAGAATTAATAGGAAACTGGTTACTGGGTAGATATGAATGAATATGAAGTCCAAAAAGTGGAGAGTAGATTTGTTTATCACTGATATTAAAGGGTTGTAAATAAATTATTCAAGGTCAAATGTAAAAATGGACCTTTTATTAGTTTTGTATAGTTGTTTGTTTGTTTGTTTGTTTGTTGTGTCATATATCAGATAGGGAAAAGTATCAGCATTGTTCAATCATTGGAGAATTTAAATTTAGAGTAAACTTGGACAATATTTTTTTCAACATTTGCAGAGACATGCCTTGTCCATTGTTGAGGGCCCACACAGTGACACTGTCTCATTGGCAGTCATATACCAAATCTCCTTACTTTTATTGTATCATTAGTAAGCAAAACATGATAGACATATTCAAATTTTATTCCAAAAACCAAATAGATCCACTGCTTTCAATATTATTATATATCAATATAGCTTGTTAGTTATTACATGTCTAAATTTTTGGATTTATTTTAGTATTGGATGGTCATACTTAAGCTCAGATTTGCTTTTTTTTGTAATTATGTAAAAAAAAAAAATACTTGTAATTAAGGGTGTTTTTATATTGCATCTAATTTCAAAGACTTTGCAATTTCCTCTCCATCCATTTTAGAAACCATCAGTAAACAAACTGTAGTATGGCTTTAATTTAGTGTATATTTATATGAATATAAAGTAAAATAGTCCGGCAGACAGATGGGTT